GATCACCGTGTTGAGATTCCCACGAACATGCAAGATCCCGGCTCAGTGAGCTGTCGGAGCCTTGGCCCTGAATTTCACGCATATACTGTTTGTCGATGCTATCGACTGTGCAGAGGGGAGCCAGCAGAAAGGACACACTTGTGTCTGTGCTCCATAAACCCATGCACCAACAAATTGTACCGCCAAAAGAGCATCGCAACTTTTCAAAAAAAGCGACCAAGCCCTTAGTTTAGTTTAGTTCCACCACAACTTTCAAAAATTTGCTACAGTACGTGTCACATCGAATGTTTATGGCCTGTACATGGAGCATTAAATGTAGACGAAAAGAAAAACTAATTACACAGTTTTGTAGGAAATTACGAGACGAACGTTTTGAGCCTAATTAGTCCATGTTTGAACACTATTTGTCAAATAAAAACGAACATGCTACAGTAGCCCCAAAATCCAAATTCTTACAACTAAACAGCCTCCAAAGAGTGGGGTTCTTGACAAGACACGGTACATTTTTCAAGTGGAGGTGGACCGGTACTGTAATTTCGTTTAGGGTTCATCTAGTTTTTCTCACTAAAGTTTATTCATATCTTACCGAATATTTAGACACATACGTAGAGTATTAAATATAGACTAAAAATAACTAATTACACGGTTTGAGACTAATTTATGAGACGAATCTTTTAAGCCTAATAAATCCACGATTTGACAATGTGGTGCTACAGTAACACATGTGCTAATGACGGATTAATTAGACTTAATAAATTCGTCTTGCGGATTACTGACGGATTTTGTAATTTGTTTTTTATTAGTATCCGAATACCCATGTAACACTCGATGTGACACCCTAAAATTTTATCATGGATTTAAACAAGGCATTAGTTATCTCAAACCGACGCGTGTCAAATTTCAAGTGTTAACAACGACCTTAGTACAGATTTGTGGACAATGATTTTTTGGCCAAAAAAGAAAGAGCAGTGCAGCATTTGAGCATTATTTTTTTTATTGATTGACAACGACTAAAGGGTCAATTAGATACAAGATGGCCACAAGTTAAGGCGCCGTTCGGCTGAACTGAAAACCAGCTGGAATTCACTGTTTACAGCTGGTTTTCACTGTTTATTCTCTCACAAATTCCTCCAGATTCCTCCGAGCGAACAGGGCATAAGTGGCATCCACTAAGCAACACGAAAACAACCTCACTATAATAATATTCAACAAATGGGAGATGATAGCCTCCATTCACATATCTAAAGTGTAAATTCGTTGTGGCCAGCTCGCGAGGCCAGCATGTCCACGATAGTAAACGAGATGGTGGCCGTTCGATGTCTGGTGGGTGGCCGTGATCGCGTTGAATGATTTTTTGCATTTGAGCATGCCCTCTTTTTTATTCGATTGATTGGTGAAGGAGCCAATGTGGGATTAGATACCAAGATGGCCAAAAGTTAAGTGGACATCCACAAAGAACCGTGAAACACAACCTCACTATAATAATATTCAACAAATGGGAGATGACCTACCCGCCTCAATTCACATATAATCACTCCGCTCTCTCCTCTCCCTTGGTCCCTCCTCGAGCTAGATACCTAGCGCGCCCTTTGGTTTATAAGCAGGGCAGAGCGCGCCACACGGTGCGGGCGTGACCAGGGCGAGCAGGCGCCGTAATTTTAGATAGCCCCAACGGTGAATAGTATTGCGCACCGGCATGGGGTGCGGTGAGAGTCGCGCCGCCCCGTGGCACAGAGCCAAGGTCCGTCAATGGCGTGGCGTCCGGCGTGCATTTCCGCCTGACTCAAGCCACGGGATCCATGGATAAGCCACGATGGCATGGACGTTTGCGCCTCACCTTCTTTCTCACCAAACAAGTTGAGGTGAGTCACCCCGCCTATATCGATCCTCGCTTTTCTTCCTTTTTCCGTCCATGGATTGCTCCGATGGTTTTTGCCTCTCATAGCAGCTCACTCACAGCGTGGTTTCTAGGTGCTAAACGGGGTTGAAGGGGGGCGCTAGATCTATGGTGTGGATGCAGAGACCACGCCAAATTGCGGAGGAGCTTTTGCTTGGGACTGCAGTTAGCTGCGCTTGACAATAAGATGATTATCTATCAATCAGGTGTTACATTTGGTAGCTCATGATGAGATTGGTTCTATAATGACATTTTGATACTTTTCCTTTTTTATTAAGTATTTGGACCTGTTTTTTGAAACGACAGTTTAAATTGAGTTGTTTGCCAGCTATGTATTCGAAGCTTTTAGTTTATTCACCAAACAATTAAGATATATCAACATTATGAATGTTGATATCTACAAAAATTAGTAAAAAGGTGGAAGTTTATAGTTTAAATTTCTAGATTTATAACACGTGTGAAAATTTGAAATGAAAAGATTAACGGGTTTCTGCTGGTTAAGTACTCTAAACAAAATTTTTGAGTTACGTTGGATGGATTTGGTTATTTTATGAAATCATTTTTATTACGAGCTTCAGTAGGTAAATTTACCACTAAGCTTATGAATAGTGGCCCCTGACACACAGTGACAAAAAAAAAGTCCTTTCACATGGGTGCGAGCCGGGAAGACATGAATACACAATAAGGTAAATGTTATTTCCTTACTTCTTTCAATTTCCTCACTTTCAAAAAACACCATACCGGGTTGATGATGACCATGAAGAAAAAAAGAAACTTTAGAACATTGCTCAAGTGTCAAAATATTTTTTCATTTTTATTTGGCTTCTTTGTTTTAGAAAAACACCCGTCTCCGTCTCCGGTGCTGCAAGCAGGAGTTCGGGGAGGAGGACACTTGCCAAAAAAGAACGCAGCCTCTAAATTTATGATTGGTGTCAGCAACAAGCATTATGCCCTGCTCCAGCTCGTTTCTCAGGTCCCCGTGCCACTGCCAGTCCCGCGCGCAGCTCAGATTCACGAGCTCGTCTCCCAGATCTTGCCTCGTTTGGCTGAATTCTGGTTCTTTGTTTTGATTATTTTGGAGCAAAGAGACATAATGGTGAAAAGATATGAAATGCATTTGTAATCCTTTGTTTCTTGACCTATGAAAGGCCGGCTTAGCAAAGTTGCTTGCTCTGGTATTCCGGCTATGGTTACTTGATCGAAATGATGACCTTTTGTGCTTCGCAGGTGCTGGTCGGCGGCGTGGTTTGGTGCTATTGTTTGGGCCATTGTTAGCTAGAGCTTTTTGCGTTTCTCCGGCTCTGCGAAGGTTGTCTGCTTTCTCTTTATGACGGGTTGAACTTCAAGAGAAATGGGGGTAGGCGGGGAGAAGTTCCAGCTGGGGACGGTGAAAATCGGGGCGCTGAGCCATTGCTCTACTTGATCAGTGGTGTCCTCCGTCTCCATCGTCATCTGCAACAAGGCTCTCATGAGCTCCCTCGGCTTCAACTTTGGTATGAGATCCAATCTTGTCCGAGATGCTTGTCTCCTTTCCGTTCAGCTACTGTTTGGCTATTAGATGCTTCTGCTCCATGTTTTTACTCGTATATGCTGTCTGCTGAGGCGCGAGGTCAAGATTAGTCCAGGCGGGTGCAGCGGGAATTGGTGGATGCTGCACAAGTGCACAGCGGCTTTGTGCTGTGAATTGGTATGAGGAGACTGGTGCTGCGAGAGATTTCACAGTTTCAGGGGCAAGCGCAAATTAGCTTGAATATCTGTGAATCGAATATTTGGTGTCGTGAGTTGGAAAATGAGTGAACTGTGAGTTCATATGATAGGGCTAAGGTGACTTACTGGAAATGGCTATACCGTGGAAAAGGGGCTAGGTTCAGCTTAAGTGATACCAAAATGGTCTCTATGATCTTTAGCAGTAAAACATCACGCAAGGCGTGCACTAGTATTTTGCTATTGATTGCACATGGATTATCTATATCAATAGTTTTACCGTTTGATCTATTTTTGGAATTTTTCAATTGGATCTTGCATTAATTTCCACAGTGTCACCAAACAATATGTACTTAAAAAAAGCAAAAGTGATAGTCCGTCTATAAACAGACAATAATAGGGTTTCCTCCAAGTGTTAATGAAATGCGGTATTTGTTAAGTCTCATTAAACAGCCACTACTTTGACAAGCTGGCATCTCCTTGGTTACACTTCTGCCCCTCTCTCCATGTGGCATTATGTATGCAACAAAGCTTTTCTTTGATAAAACAAACCTTTCGATGCAAGGACGCAGTCATGGGCACACCTTTGGCTCCAGCTGCTCAATGGCATATCGATTGGAGCTTCTTAACTTGAGTCTTGGTTTCAATTCTGTTGGTTTCTATCAGGTATACATCTTGGCCTTTTTTTCTCTAATTCTATTTGTATTCATCCGGCGGCGTTAAGTGATCTGGGGGCACAGTTTTTGCGTTCTCCGGCTCTGCGTGTCTGCTTTCTGCGGCCATAACATGATGTGTTGTCATCAGTAAAGGTATATCAGGATGGTCTCCATCGTCAAACAGCTCCTAGAAACATGGTTTCAAGTTTGGTATGAGATCCATTCATGTCCGAGATGCTCCATCTCACACTGTTTGCTATTAGATGCTTCACTCCATGTTTTTACTCAAGCTCAGGTAAGAAAGTACTGTTTATGTTCAGATGACAAAGCTGGCTATTATTCAGGGGCCCTGTACTGAATTATATGAATCGAATATTTGGTGTCGTGAGTTGGAAAATGAGTGAACTTTTCTTCAGGAAGAAATTTAGGTTTGTTTGTACTACGTCATGTGTTTTATGTAAAATTTTTGGAACCGTCAGCTTTATAATATATAAGTGATACCAAAATCTCTGTGATCTTTTCACTGACCTTATGTTTTTACCGTTTGATCAGTCGGAATTTATCAAGCGTGAAGTGATAGTCTCTATAAACAGACAATAATGTGTTTCCTCAAGTGTTAATGAAATGTATTTGTTTCGCAGCCACTACTTTGACAAGCTGGCATCTCCTGGTTACGTTCTGCTCTCCATGTGGCATTATGTATGAAGCTCTTTGAGCACAAACCTTTCGATGCAAGGACCGTCATGGGATTTGGAGTGCTCAATGGCATATCGATTGGACTTCTTAACTTGAGTCTTGGTTTCAATTCTGTTGGTTTCTATCAGGTATACATCCCTTTTTTTTTCTCTAATTCTATTTGTATTCATCCAAACTTAAGTGATCTGGCACAAATTTCTTATTCGGCGCCCATAACATGATGTGTTGTCATCAGTAAAGGTATATCAGGATGGGCCAAAAACATCCTAGAAACATGGTTTCAGTTTGGCGCTATTCATGCCACTCCATCTCACATGCTAATCACAACACCAAGCTCATAACAAAGTACTGTTTATGTTCAGATGACAAAGCTGGCTATTATTCCCTGTACTGTTATATTGGAGACCCTTTTCTTCAGGAAGAAATTTAGGTTTGTTTGTACTACGTCATGTGTTTTATGCAGCTTTATAATATATCATCTAATCTTTTTCACTGACCTTACTGTGCAGTCGGAATATCAAGCTCTCCCTTAGTGTGCTCCTTGTTGGTGTTGGTGTTGCAACTGTAACTGATCTGCAACTCAACACTGTAGGATCCATACTGTCCCTGCTGGCAATCATCACAACCTGTATTGCTCAGATCGTATCCTTTCAATTGTACATATACTCATTATTTTCTTTTATGTGGTACATCTGTCACAGAATCATTTGCATACAACAAACTTTGCATGTGTTTGAGGTTCTTAATATCGCAAAAAGGGGGGCAAAGCGCTAATATGTGAACAATAGAGGCTAGTTCTTCCTCTACTGTATTATTTAGTTTACCTGTTGAGCATAAATTTTAAACATGGTATACATTGTCTTGTTTAGCATTGTCATCATCTCATTGCACATCAGCACATTCATCTAAGTGATATGCATATTTCCTCATCATTAAAAAAGGGGGTAGTTGCCACTAAAGTGGCATTTAATTTGAGCATTAGTGTTCTGTGACGTATAACTTGAGTCCTTAACAAGCCATCAGATGACAAATACAATACAGAAGAAGTTCAAGGTATCTTCAACGCAGCTTCTGTACCAATCTTGCCCATACCAAGCATTGACTTTGTTCCTTATCGGTCCATTCCTTGATGGATTTTTGACTAACCAAAATGTCTTTGCTTTCGATTACACAACTCAAGTTCTGGTAAGCATTAAATTGGGCTTTGGGGAGTTTATGTTAATTGTGGATATTACTTCATCTGATCATGGGTCTGCATTTATTGTCTCTGCAGTTTTTCATCGTGTTGTCATGCCTGATTTCAGTCTCAGTAAACTTCAGCACTTTTCTCGTGATTGGGAAGACATCTCCTGTAACTTACCAAGTTCTTGGCCATCTGAAAACATGCTTGGTTCTCACCTTTGGCTATGTTCTGCTTCACGATCCGTTTAGCTGGAGAAACATACTTGGAATCCTAATTGCAGTAATTGGGATGGTTTTGTATTCATACTTCTGCACTAGAGAGACTCAGCAAAAACCAGCAGAAGTCTCCCCGCAAGTCATTCAGGTATGTTCTGCAATGGTTAGCTAAATTCCATGGATAGTATTGGGTTTTGAGCAGATAAATTCCATGGATAGTACTGGGTTTTTAGTGGATAAATTCCATCGATAGTACTGGGTTTTGAGCAGATAACATTCGAACAGATAAATTCCATGGACGTTTGAAACTGAAATTCTTATTAGTCTGGTGACATTGATCTTATGTCGAACAGATCTATAAATCTTTGTTGTTCCATTGATCTTATGTCAAATCTTTTCACTTGATATGCAACATTTATATTGTTGTGGAAACATTACTATGTTTTTTTCTAGTTCTCTAGAAGCTTTTCTTGACAAGTTGCATGTCACTGACATCACAGGATAAAGAGGGTGAATCAAACCCTCTGATCTCGGACTCCCTGAGCGCTGCTGAAAACGGGGGCAGTGCCACCGACGACGAACCCCTGAAGGTACCAATGTGGAGCTCAAAGTACTCGAAGGCGTGATGAAGGCTGTTCTGTTACTAGTGTACGGTGCTATACAGAATTCAGCTTGGTAGGCAGATACTAGGGTTGGAAGGCAACCCTGTTCCTGTTCCATTTTTGGCCTTCTATTTTTTTCTTCCTTTCTGGCATATACTATAAATATATGTGCTGTCAGTAAATGGATCTCACTCTTGAGAGGATGATACCTCAGCTCGAGACGAGTGATCTGCCTGAAAGCTATTTTCTTATGCTCCACTCCACGTGTAACCTGGTAGATGGACATGATGTCAACAGTAGTAGTTTGCATTCTTTTGTACTAATATATAGTACTGTATATCTCAGTCTTCTGTTATGTGTTCCTCGGGTTCCGCAAGCTCATGTCCGCACCGGGCATCTGCATCCTTCCCCTCGTCGCCCACCACCACCAGGCACCAGCGTTCCGCCGCCTGGGCTAACGGCGACTCGCCGGCCGCCGCCCTCTCCACCCTAAGCCGCATTCCTCGCCGGAGAAGCCTCACCGCGGCGGAGGTGCTCGCCCAGACGCCCACAACCACAAAGGTGCAGACAGAAGCTGTGGGGCCCACCTGTTGACACAAGGGTTCCAGGACGGAAATATTTCAGGCCCGTTTCATTTCTTCCAAGAACGTTCAGACTGGGCCTTCATAGGTCTACACATTGTGGATATTGGCCCATTTAAAACTTGGCCTACTTCGGCTCAAGAGACTTACTTACCCAGCCCAAGCCCAAGAGCGATGGCGGGAAGCGGGCAGGAAACGGCGGGAAGCGCCGCCGCCAGTGGCGCCAAAACCCCGAGCCGCTATAACACCCCTCCCCTCAGGCCTCAGTCCTCTCGTCCCCTCGCCTGCCCACCTCCCCCGCCGTTGCTCCCGAGTGCCAAACCCCAGCGCGAGAGAAGAAGAGAGAGAGAGAGAGAGTGATGGTGGGGCCGCAGTACGATCTCGTCGGGAACCCGCTGGGCGCGGTGCGCGCCACCTTCGAGAGGACGGCGGCGGCGGCGGCCTCGGAGTCCGGAGGAGCCGACCCTGTGGCGGCGTTCCGGGGCAAGGATTGGGGCGCCGGCGACCTCTTCCGCTCCTTCCTCTTCGAGCAAGACGGCCTTGGCAAGGTGAAGGATCAGCCCTTGCCCTTTCTGTTTTTGATTTTTGTGTTTTTTTCCCGGTTACTTTACACTGGTTTACCTATGGATCTGGGTGGCGATTCAAGATATAGATTGACTAGTCGCATAAATTGAGTCATTTAATTTTAATTAATCAATAATCTGCACAAATAAGAACACGCGTTAGGAACTTACGTTTTCATATTCTTGGGAGGAGCAAAGGGTCTCCTTTTTGCTGCACGCATTTTTCGTAACGTGTTTGCAAGCTAGGCTTTTAATGCCAAAATAAAAACTATTCCAGGTTCCGGTGTTGGATGCATCAAATCTTGGATTGATCAAACCAAACACCCTGGTCCGGTACCGGGGAATGGTTCAGGATATGCTTGGGAATGAGTACTACATTGGTGCTTTCAAGGTAATGGACTGAGGCTCATAAACTCTTGGAAAACTTCCTTTAGTGCCTGCTAAGCTTATTTTACTGTATCATCTATGTAGGATGGGTCAACTTGGAGGACAAACAAGTACACTGACTTCTCACCGTTCTCAATGCCACATCCTTGTGATTCACATCTTTGGGAGCGGCATCTCTTCCACTGTGTGCCTGTATGTTACTGCTTCCATGGCATTTGTTTTTCATTCTGTAACCCTAAAGGTTTTTTTATCAGCGCACCAGCACCCGATTTGTAATTGGTGTATTACAGGCACCTGGACAAAATTCTTGGACACTGGAGTCTTCACCAGGACCCGATGTCCGCAGGATGCCAAACTGCTTGGCACCTGAATTAAGAGAGAAAAGGAAGAGAGATGGGGATGATGATGCTATGGATGTATGTTTTTTTTACATGTTTCCTGCAAATAAAATGCAGCTATTATTCCTGACACCCACTGTTGAAGTGTTGACATTTAGTGTATTTCTTTCTTTTGACAGGTTTCAGAAAATGGGCACGGAGAGTCTTCATTCTGCAAGAAGCCGGTAAGAGTTGACAATTATTTTATTTCAGTTTCACTATTAAGGGTAAATACTAAATGGTCATGTTTGTCTCATGAAGCATATATTCATACTTACTTTCTTATATGTTGATGTGCACACACCTGAATCTCATAAATGTATATGTATCAGTTTCTTGCTTGTTTTTTTGTATTTGGAAGCTTCATCTGACAATTTCCCTGGATATATGTCATCCTGTAATTTTCTACTCTGAATATAGGCAGGTATCCTGATAAATTAGGATAGTTGATAACCTGATTTATTTATGCATACCTGCTTATTTTTCTTCTAACATTGTGAAGAATTATATGAACCGGCTATTAATCTGATTTAATCTCTATTCTCTTTGCAGAAGGAAGGCGATGTTCATGTCTCATCCAGTTCAACTGAAGTGGCAGGAACTGTTCCAGAGATGAATGGAGGCGATCATCATATACCTGGAAGCTCATTTTCATGTCTAGTGAAGGTAATGACCTAGAATTTTGTGAATGAAATGCAAATGATCAGATTTATTTGGTTTTGTTTTAGTTATCTTATTTACGATTGACTCTTTTATATCTTTGTTGCAGATCTATGACATGCCTGAAAGTCAAGTGAAGCTAAATGATGTTATTGAGTTTATTGGTGTATATACATTTGACCCAGAACTTGCTGCTCCTAGTGACAACCCAGATGATATAATGTTAGACCTCATGGAAGATGTAACAGTTCAGTTGCCTCCGAGCAAGGTATGCATATACATAGTACCTGAGGTCATGTATAACACGGGAAAATGTTAGTTTATCTTTTGCTATTTTTTCCCTTAACTTTTGATTCCTTTAAATGATTATACAGGTGCCACGTCTTCACTGTTTGGTATGGAGAAAATTATCATCCCACGATTTTATTTCAAGGCCTGTTGTTGAGGTAGATATTACCAAATTTGTTGTCATGAAATCTGTAGTGTGTTTGCTACTTTCACCAGCTTTTACCCACTGACTAATAGAACTTATTCTGTTCTTTGTTTTGGTCATGCAGCCTTCACCTAGCCTGTTAAAAGGCATTCGGCAATCTTTGCTCTCACACCTCACCCTTGTGTTAGGCAATGATGAACTTGCAGCCCAGTGCTTGCTGTTGCATCTTCTATCCAGAGTATGTTGTATTTCTAATCAAATGCCCTAACTATAAGCATATTTTAAAACTTTGATTTGAGATGATTCTTGCAAAGTCAATCCATATCCAATTACTAAATTATTGCTCATTAATCTTTATGCAGCTTCGCAATAGGGTGGACGTGGTCACTGTTGGCAGACTCTCCTTGAATTTCGCTGGCTTCAACAAGGAAAGTGCTTCCATATTTGGGAATCAACTGTATTCTTTGATCCAGAAATTGGTGCCATATTCACAAGCCATACCTCTGTCAATTGACTATCTCAACTCAGCCACACTTCAACCTAGAAAGGACAACAAGTCAGGAAGGTGCGTGCTTTTAGATTGTCTATTAAGTATCAACAATATATAAGTATTATATTTAGAGCTAAAATGTATCCTATACTTACCCTAATATTTGCTGTAGGTTGGTCACAGGAGTTCTGCAGCTACCTCAAGGCACTCATCTGACCTTTGATGAGACTCTTCTGCAGACAGGGTCATTGACATCTAAAGGTGTGGAAAATACCATGCTGCTCAAGAATCTGATGGAGTCGCAGAAGGTAATGATCCTTGCAACATTGAACCTAATATTTTAATTCTAGTACTGGTGTTGCTGGCCTTAGGTTAAGTTGAACCGATTATCTGTCATTGAAGTTTCTTTGAATTTACTTGCAGGTTGACTACGATTTTGAGTACTACAAGCTGGAAATGGCAGCTGATGTGCAGCTACTTACTCTCTCTGAGGGAAAATCAAACATCCTTCCTTCAGACTTGGTAGTGCCTTTCCGGCCATCCTCTGTTCCCACAGTTAATGCAGGTGCTGAGGAAACTGAAAGTTGGAGGTGGTATTTGGCCACAGTAAGGTCTCTTCCTCAGTCCACTGAACCTGAGACTTACCAGGTAAACACCCCTTACTCCATTCTCTATCTAGCAATGGCACTGATCCAAAACCTTGATATAATCTTAAAACCTCGAATATGATTGCAAAAGATGCATATTCGAATATCCAACTATACCACTTTGCATGACATGGTTAATGAGTTGTGTAACGTTTGCACTTCTTATTGCAGATGATTCAAGATGAAATGGTCAGTGCGATGCGCGATGATAGGAGCTTGGGTTGTTCTGAACTTAGCAGGTCTGTATTAGTGCCACAGTTGAAAACACTAGCCTGGCTGTTTGGTCAGGAAGTCTATGAATCGTTTTTGAGCTCATTTCCCTTCCTCTGATCTGCAGATGGCTAACAATGGCACAAATAATGGCCTCGAGCTTTGGCGAGAAGAGCCTTTCTTTGGAGCACTGGCACATGGTGAAGGAGCTTGAGAGGCTTAGAAAGCAGAGGATGCAATGAGATGACGCATCATTAGCATGTGTTTTTACATTCTAATTGTTATGGTGGTATGCTGTCTGTGTATAGGACTAGAAGCCTGTTCGTTCGTAAACGATCGTAAATTTCGAGCCGTAACAGTATTTTTCTCTCACACAAATCAGCCAGCATTACTTCTTCACGAATCAGCAACGATATGAACCAGCACCAGCCAACCGACATGGATCCAAGCCATTTCTGTAACAACGAACAGCTTCTATGATCCTATGGATGCTATGATGTCTGCTGTGCATTTTCTTGCTCAAATTTGAAATGCACTCTGGGAACCATGGCATGTCGATCTCAGATCTGTGATTTCAGGATTGTAATGCAAAATTTCTCTGAATGGGACCACGTAATGGATGTTTTGAAATAAATCAAACCCATCTTTAACTCTGCAAGAATAAGGCTTTTCTAAGTACATTCGCTATGCACCTAAATATGTTATGTACAGATACGCTACAAAAGCCAAAACAAGCAAACCTTTGATTACTTCTAGCTGCAAAATTATAGCAAACAAACATTTTTCTTCCACCTAAATGGATGGAGTTTTTTGGTAGGGCAAGTTTATGAGTGCAATTGCTCAACATTTGTAATCGCTACATTCATTTTATTCAATGAAATGAACTTTCTCTGTATTTTAAATCTCATGTTTCATTATCTCAAAGCAAACTAAAAGTTTTCTTGTCACTTTAATGTTACAGACCATTTGCCAGAGCAACAGAGAAACAAGGAATTCGTAACTCTCAGTAGTTACAAACAATAGATGATACAGTAAAATGCAATAACTGTTTACAACCTCTCAATCCAATGCCGAAGAGATAGGTGTAGCTGCTCAGTTGCTATATAGTTCACAGAAACACTGGATGTGGCTCCAAATTTACACCAAAGATTTTTACACAGTCGAATTTTCACCAGTCAATAGTGTTTCAGCAATAGAGGAAGAGAGCTTAAAACAGTCATCTGACTTTCATCGTTTTTCCCCAATTTGATCTCATAGGCAGATAAGCCGATAAGCCTTATTCTGATTTGCATCATCTTCACAAAGTGGCAGACAGAGGCATAGCTTCCATTGATGCTTGTGTGCCTGCTTTGCATGCATGTATCGCAGAGCAGACATCCGTTGTCTCAAGGAATTTCTGGCTCTTCACCAGAATCAGTGGGGTATACTTGAGGACCAGCCGCTTGCACTGGAGGGATGAAAAGAAGATTATTATGAACAGAAGATAACAGAGGTAGCAAACGTCAGATTTCAAAGAAAGAGACCCCCTGTTCTGTATATGAAATATTTGCACAAACCTGCAGGGTGCAGGCATCAGCAACAAACCTAATTTAAGATACAGTTCTATAAGTGTTAAAGTTCGAGAACAGCTAAGATGATTGAACTTGGTACATCTTTAGGCAGATTGGAGAAGACAGCTAAAATTAGGAAGCTGAGCTAGCTCAGTTGGTCGAGGGCGTGGATGTGTGCCCAGACCATCTAGGTTCAAGTCCTCGTTGATGTGAATATTTGGGTGCCTATTTTCTTCTTAAATAAAATGCCACCTAGGTTGGTCTAGTTTTTTGGGGGGCGAAAACAGAAAAGTACAGTAATCACCGAAGTATTTACTTTCTAAAGTGTTTAAACAGTTCAAGGTTTCTCATTTCTTACTGACTTTTGTTCTCAGATACCATTCAATATAGGCCGATGCACTCATAGCACATCTGAGATTCTTTTTCTTGAACTTAGCTCACCTGCTGTTCATAGTTCTGCGCCTTGCTGCATGTTTTGGTGAGTAGGTCGATTACTTCCAGCTGCAAAATTACAGCAAACAAAGGAAGACATTACAGTATGTACAAAGAACAAAGCAGTACAACACACAGAACGTTGGCGACGGAGAGTGAAAATATGGCTATTACCTGCGTGTTGGGATCTTTAACCATGACAAGAATTTCAACAACAACATGGTGGCATAAACCACAAGTACCCTCCCGAGTGGGTAGGCTAATCTTCATCCCCTTCTTGCAGAGATGCATCGATTCACAGAACTTTTCAGGGGTAACCATGGAAACCTCGAGGAAGAAAAGGGGTACATAGTAGTCGACCAGCGTGATGCACTGCAGCAGAGTGAATCATCAACACACCAATAGATTTAAGCAACTGAAAACGTGGTACCCAAGGCCGGATCACAAGCTACACATACCTGCTGCTTCAGAGGGGCAAGGCTTGCACATTCATGGTGTAGAATGCTAAGAATTTCAGTCCGTGTTTCGTTTTGTGTGAGATAGAAAAGTGCCTCAGTTGAGTACTGCTCACATAATTGACACAGCTTTCCACTGGATGCAGTTAGACCTAGTCCCTTGGCTGCATCAGGCAAGCTGCCCTGAGCTGAATTGAAGACAAAAGAAAAGATTGATCAGAAGTGCAAAACTTCAGAAGCTTGAGTTTCTATAAGGAATAGCAACTAAGCTGAAGCTACACCCTCTACGGTGAGTAGAATTGATGGCTTAGACGTAATTGTTTTCTTTAACAGATCACAGGATTAAATGCAAATGCAAACCAAGAAGGAATTTAGGTAAACTAGTTGAAACTATCACTAGACTTGATAGTTATAACCTTATAGGTAGAAGATATTCAGAACAACACTTAGGATTTCATACGTTGTTGCACCTGATCTACTTATAGCAACAGAAAATTCACTGCTATGGATCAACAACATTCAACAATAAAGAAAAAGAGAGAGAACGGAGCAAAAATCAATAGATTCAAAAACTTACCCAAGATATTAAAATCTCTGCTCTCTGCAACCTCAGTTGATGAGGCTATAGCCAGTGCAAGCACAAACGCGAGCCTCGTTATTGAGCACATCGTACCTGCTTACCAGTTGGTCAGTTGACAGGAACAAAACTAGAAAAAAACTGTCGCAATGAAATCAGCTGTGGCCGATGGATGCAGAAAAGCTGGCTAACTCAAGCTTCTCCATAAAGCCAAAAGGTAAAAGAAAAAAAACATGAAATATATCCTTAGGGCCCTCACTCTACGTCATGTAACAGATCAGTAAAAGTTTCAGATTCAGTCAGCCCAACGTAACGGAAGAACTCAGTTGGCTTCAAGATGTAGCTATCTCAGCACAGAGCATGAGCTAGCCCTCCGCATCCACATTCCAGGCAACAGATTCACGAGATTCAGCTCGCTCCACGCCAGCAGAGCTGCTACTATTTTGGCATCACTCCAGATACGGCTTCGCAGCAGATTCGCAAAGCATTACGCTGGCTTTGCCATTTATTTTGCCCCTAATTTTCTTTCCAAGTAGCTTCCGGTTCCGAAGAATTGGAGGTTCTTGGATTCAGGAACAGGGGTCGAACTGGACAGAGCGAATCAAGAACCGAGGGCGGCAGTAGTATAGATAGCACAGAAGAAGCTAATATGTATGGATGAGGATGAGGAAATCAAGATGCAGCTCACCTGGTTGACTCGGACTCTCCTCTCCTCCGCTGCCCTGTTCTTGGAATTGGAACGGGAGGGGGAAGGAGAGCTGCAGCTTGGAGTCTTCCGGGAGTTGTTATTACTAATTTTCTTTGTTTTCTTAAAGCTTCAGGTTACATTAGGAGGATGCATCAGCATGTGAGATTAGAGGAGTGGGTGTGGTTGGGAAACCTTGAAGACTTCGCTTCTGTGGTGGATAGGAGGAGGTAGAAAGGCATAATCTTTTCTTACAAGGTAAGGTTGAACTGATGGTTGCAGGGGGGGAAAAAAGGTGAGGCGAAAATGACAGCAGTGCAGGAAAGTATATAGCAAATTTAGTTTTAGCTTAATAAACTTGCAGGAAAATTACAGCGCAGACCATAAGTCGCTTCTTCTTTTCTTTGATAACCATTATTTGTCCGCTAGAGCTGATGCAAGGCAGAGTCTGATAATACAGGACTATAGGTGCATCAGTGCATGTCACATTGTAACGGGGGATTCTTGACTTTTCACGATCCCTATCTTTTTCTGAACACTTCACTTTCATTTAGTGTTTTTATGTTTAATACATGCAAAGAATAGGCAACTTACCAATAAAGGAATATTCCAATGAAAATGTTTCGACGTGGGCGTCTGTCCCGTCGGATGCGGCTTCCCACTCTGCTTCGCCCCCCTCTCTAAAAAAAACTCGGCCTCGCCCGCCTCTCTCATAAAAAAAAAAATCCTCACTTCGCCTCGTACTGTCGTGGCTTCACCACGCCGTGTGGCCGTCCGCTTGCCCCAGTCCACCGTGTCGCTGCCACTATCCCCCGCGCCGCTGCTATCTCGCGCCGCGGCCCACTCCGGCGCGCGCCGCCGCCATCCCCTGTGGCGCCTCCATTCTTCGCAGGGAGGAGGAGGAATCCTTTGCCGAGGTACGCTGCCAGCCGCCCCACCGACTGCAGGTGCTGCTGGACCCGGTCGTCGGCGCCTCGCCCTCCGCCAACAAGGTCATCTGGCGTGCTTTCGGCGACTACAATAATGGCGCTCCATCCATCCCCGCCATGCCATACTGGTGCTTCGTCTTCTTGGCGCCAGCCAGCCAAAGCGACCAGAGAGAGGGGCCGTCATTTGGCCAAGCCTAGGCTAGCACACAGCATGACTAGCCATTGCCTGTATGTGAAATGTCCTAAATGGCTAGAGGGGGTGAATAGCCTATAAAAATTTCTACAAATACACTAGAACAAGAGGTAGTACACTAAATGGCGAAATGCAATTTTGCTCTAGCTCTACGAGGGTTGCAAGCCACATATTCAACAATTCTAGTTGCTATGATCACTAGGCACAAACAATGGCTATGTCACTACTCACTAAGAGCTCTCAACAAGTCTACACTAAAGAGCTCCACTAGGTGATACTAAACTAGCAAGCAACACAAGCTCTCAATTCTAGCTACACTAAAAAGCTTGCTACAACTAGTTTGCGGGAATATAAATGAGTGAGTAGAGTGATTATACCACCGTATAGAGGAGTGAACCAATCACAAGATGAATATCAATTCAATCACCGGGAGAATACCAAAGGGCAAAAGACAACCAATTTTTCTCCTAAGGTTCACATGCTTGCCAGTACGCTAGTCCCCGTTGTGTCGACCAACACTTGGTGGTTCGGCGGCTAATAGGTATCACACACCTAGCCCACCACAAAGAGGCGCCGCAAGAACCTACCTACAAGTGAGGTAACTCAATGACACGAGTAATTTACTAGAGCTACCTTGAGGCTCTTCACGGGGGAAGGTGCAAGACCCCTCACAATCACCGGAGCCTACCACGAACAATCACCAACACGTGCCGAAGCTCCTCCGCTGCTCCAAGCCATCTAGGTGGCTGCAACCACCAAGAGTAACAAGAACTCCAGACCACAACGATCCTCAAGTGCCACTAGATGCAATCACTCAAGCAAATGCACTTGGAATCACTCCCCATCTCACTATAATGATGAATCAATGATGGAGATAAGTGGGAGGTGTTTGCTTAGGCTCACAATGATGTCAAGTATGTCAAAGTGCCAAGAGAGAGAGCCCAAACCTAGTACCTTTCTATTTATAGAGCCCCAAGACTCAAAGAGTCGTTGAGCACTCTCGGGCTGACCGGACGTGCCCCAGCATCCGGTCGGCCAGCGTCCAATCACCTACGGCCATCCATGTGTCCCCGCTTGAACTAGAGCCGCTCGATCTCAACGGTCATCTCCCGATCGCTCGCGCAGTTAAAAGATGACCCGACACCGCTGATGCAACCTGATGCACGTACACGCGGCGTCCAGTCATTTCTAGTAAGGGTCTAGAGGCGGTTTTTAATGACCGGACGTGTTAGGTCAGAGGTGACCTGACGCGCCCCAACGTCCGATCCTCTCTCTTCTTCTCTACGCGCGCCCGCCAAAGGTTGATCGGATACGCCAATGCACCCGGCCTCAGCATTCGATCACTTCTGCTCAGTCTCGGCCAAACAACGCGCCATGCCTATAAATGACCGGACACGCCTAGGGTGAGTCCGGTCACCCCATGGCCAGCGTCCAGTCATGGACCTTCTCCAATTTTTCTTTTTCTATGTCTACAACCGCTTCACCCTTGCTTCCAACTTGCTAACCATAAAGTGTAGAACTTATGTGCACGTATGTTAGCATTTTTAAAGCATTTTATAAGGGTCAAGGTTAGCACACTAGGTTCCTAAATGCATATGCACGAATCATGTCACCTAGTGGCACTCGATAAATCATTTAGCCAAAGATTTTCCCTCTTTATAGTCTATCGATCCTAAATACACTCACACCCTCTATGGTGTCTTGAGTGCCAAAACAAAAACATATTTGATACCTTTGCCTTGATCAACCTGGTTTTTGTTTTTCTCTTTCTTCTTTTTAAGTTGGAGCTTGATCATCTTCAACACATGTCCATCTCTATCTCCATGGACTTCATCACCATGCTCCATCACTTGGTATGTACCAACCTTGCTCACATGACACTCATGACAAAGGTTAGTACTTAGGTTTCATCAATTAGCTAAAACTAAACTAGGGCTTTCAATCTCCCTCTTTTTGGTAATTGATGACAACATTTTCCCAAAGATACTCAATAAAATCTTTTTGGATTCATGTTGCTTGTCCAAGCATTTTATCATGGGTAAAGGATATGGACAAGTTTCAAAAATTCGAATTAGTAGCATTAGCTCCCCCTGCATATGTGCTAAGAGTTTGGATTTGAAAGCTTACATATATGCATAGTTAGGAAGTGTGGGGAAATAATGTCTACCAAATGATGCTAAGGTGTAAAGAATGGACCTTTGAAGAGTGATACCAATCGGAGTTGCCATTTGAACACCATCCTTAGCACCAAGATTTGCTAGATATCACTTGAAAAGCAAGGACAAACTAGATACCTCGTGAGATCAACATTAGAAGTAAGGCTCTAGTACCACTTATAAAAGATCAAGGTATATCTAGCTATCCTATGCATGCTAGTTTTTATTTCATCAATCATTTTCTATAATCTAGCATACACCACACAAGTATGGATATGGAATTTTAAAACTCGTGCTATGCAAGCAAACATATATAATACACATTCAAAAGCAACTTGACATACAAGTTTATGAGCTTGCTCCCCCTACTTGTGTGCTTTAAATTTTAATTGATCCTCTTCCTTTCACCTATCTTACTATCTTTGTCTTTGGTTATCTTTGGTTTCTCTCCCCTTTTGCTTATCTTTGGAAATTACTTCTCCCCCTTTGTCATCAATGACCACAAAAGGTGAGCTTAACTTTTAGATAGGTTGTGTGAAACCATGATAAGTGAGGACCATTTTTTCAATTTGGTTCAATCTAGATCAATTGCAAAAGATATTTAACTCAGTTTGATCCAAGGGCAAGCTTCTTCACACCTCCAAATAAGGGTTATCATGCACCATGTTGAGTTAAACACTTATAGCTCATTTTCTAGATTAAACACTAGGTTCACAAGCCCACAAACATGTCATATGCTACCACTAGATCATTTCAAGCATACAAGCAATAGTGGTACCATACAAGCATCAAATTCATTTGATTTTTATAAATGAGCCTAAGACATGTGAGGAATAACTAGATGCACTAAACAAGTCCTTAGCAATGGATGAATGACATGGCAATCAACTTTACCTTGCTTTTGCTCAAATGAGAGGCATGTCATATAATGGGGTGCATCAACACATATTTAAGAAGTCAAGTATGTTCAATTCATTCCTTAGCTTGCAAAACCTCTTCTCATCAAGTGGCTTGGTGAAGATATCGGCAAGTTCATCATCGGTGCCCACACTCTCAATGCAAATGTCCCCTTTTTGTTGGTGATCTCTTATGAAATGATGGCGGACATCTATGTGCTTTGTTCTTGAA